CCGACCCCCTCCCCCTCCACGGTTCTATTTATAGCAACACCCGGGGAGAGGAGAGACATTTATAGACAGGACAACTACTAGCTTTCAATAATACAATACAACACAAAGGGGCTTTATTGGAATGACCACATGTTAGACATAGTACTGCCAAAGCATTCCGCACAGCAAGGCGTGACAACAGAACAAGACATACTGTATATGCCAACAACGTGCAAATATATAGTGTGTGTGTGTGTGTGTGCGTGTGTGTATGTGTGTGTGTGTGTGTGTGTGTGTGTGTGTGTGTGTGTGTGTGTGTGTGTGTGTGTGTGTGTGTGTGTGTGCGGTCACTCACTGCTCCTGAACTCGCTCTCTCTCTCTGTCTGATTTCATCCTCGTTGCTCATTACGCTCGTTTCCCTCCACCTCCCACTCACAGCATTTGTTTTCATCACAATACAAGCGTCGCCACGAGGAAACGTTTGACAGACGTACGAGCAGCAATGCTGGAATGTTTTATATTAGCTTCTAAATATAACCGCAGGATACTTTAAGGAGTGTAATGTGATCAGTGTATCATTATCCTTGAAGGGCAAATCCTGTTTTCTGGGATGGATCTGCAGCTGAATGAAGAACAGCTGTCCGCTGAATGCCCTCTGGTGTTCATTAAAAAACAATAACAAGTACCGGCTGTGAATATACACGATTTATTGGACTTTGTAGGAAAACTATGACATTTTAAAAACACTTTGATTATAGTGCTAACAATAGGATGCTGTTCAACAAAGGAATTATTCAGCAAGACAGTAAATCTACTTTAGGGATGAGGTGAACCTTGAAGGGTAAATAGTTTGGTATTATAGGAAGTTCACCTCATGCCAAGAGGTGGTTGAGAACATTGATATCAGTCATATTTGTCCAATAAATATCAAGCAAACAGCCGGTTAGCTTAGCTTAGCAAACATACTAGACACATAGGGCAACCGCTTAGATAAACTCCCATTAAAATATGCAAAGTGTTGGTTTTTTACTTCACTGGATTACATTTATGATTAGAAAATGATAAAAGTAGGGTAGACATGTGGAGATTATCCGGCTGAACAAAACGTGATCCGTCTCTTAAATGTGTCTCAACCACGGACCTGATTTCCAGCTATTTTCCCAAACCCTATGGAGAAATCTCATTGCGTTTTTGTCGAAGGAACCGGAAGAAGTTTACTTCCGGGTTTTAGGACGCGTCACTGCGGTTCTCTATGAAGGGAAGGAATATTAACAGTAAACTAAAATCTTATATCAAATACTTATTGACTTCATAAGATCCTGGTAACGTTAGAAGCCACATATTTTGGAAAGAATGTACTTTATACAAACTAAGGTTTATAAGCTTTAAAAGCATCTAAAAAACAAATTGGCTGTCTTTCTGAAATACATAGTGTTGGGGACATTTTTCCCAGGCCCATAACTTTGACCCAGTTTATCAGTTCATTCTGTCCTGACTGAGCACACGCACCTGTAGCCTTGGCTGCTGTGCTCTCAGTGTTTTGTCTCCCTGTTCCTGCCGGTTGGCGTCAGCTGATAGAGGTGTTATGAGTCTATCTTGTTATGCTCAATGTTGATTATTCTCTCTGAACTAGCTAAACACACGGGTCTGGGGTAGAGCTCTTCAGAATTGACGTGGCAACTCTACCGTGTGGTCAGAACCTCTGACTCCTTGACTTGTTTTGTGAATTCTCCGGCCGAGGCTCCTAAATAAACCCATCAGTGTTTGACATCAACGCTCCAGCTCTCCCTGTGTCTCCTTCATGAGTCGGTGACTCCGCCTGCATTGCTACACAGACGTTTCCCCCACACGTAGACATAGTCAAAGAGTGTGTGTGAACAGTGGGTCCCTAGTTAGTAACATTTGATAATGATCAAGTAGCACAGCAGATTGAGGAGACTTTTGTGCTTTACGCAAAACATCAAAGTCACTAAACCTAATTTCGTAATGAACGTAAAACGAACTAATAAGGTTTACATTTCTGTTGGTTCAGAAACGTAATCATGTCAGTCATCCAAACTTTAAATTCTTTAATCGACCAACACATAGGGCTAAATCAACTCATTCTAGCACAGACCTGGCTTTACACATCTCTCAGGCAACAAACAATGAATTCATTAAAGTGGACCTATCATGCTATATTTGAATAATATAGTGTAGGACCATACCTATATAAGGCATATTTATATATATTTTTTTTCAAAATACCAAACAGATCATGCATTTTAGCCATGCCTCATTTTGCTCAATTTGACATTTGTTAGCTCTGTTTTTGCAAGGGCAGATTCAGTGAGAACAGCACCATCTACAGGCCTGGCATATGTACTACAGCGTCTCCAGCGCTTTCGAACGGCAATGGCCGTGGCTGTCTCCTCCTGATTGGTGGAGTTGGCCCAATAGCCGTAGCGCCACCGTCCTGACGTCAGGACAGTGTTCAAATCTGGATCAGTTTTGATCAGATCCGTTGCAGCCCCTTTTTTAGAGATTTGGGTATGGAGGAAAATAGAGAGGGTTGTGTTTTCTGACACTTGGTGAGTTCCCTGGAACACCGGGGACACATATTCATGTAGAAAAGACGTACAAAAGTGCATTTTGCATGATAGGTCCCCTTTAAATTAAGATGTCATTTGTGTTGATTCAGAAAATACACCATGTCATTATTTCATACCTAAAACTTCTTAATCCACCAAAGAAAGTAACTCTCATCTTAAATGACCCAGAAACACAACATGTTTCCATCATGTTAGCATTGCACTTCTGCTCTATAGGTGTGAGAGTTGTTCTACATTCACCCTGTTTGAAGTGTGTGTGTATTTGAAGTGTGTGTGCGTCAGACTGCATGATGCTCTCACCGTGAAGCTGTTGTTGACATTCTTGGTGCTGGACTCTGCAACGCTGGCGTCTGATAGGTCCACCTCGTCAAAGATAAGCGACTGCAGAGGAGAGGGGGAGTCCCCGAGAGGCGAGGAGGAGAGAGGGACCAAAAGAGAAAGAAAACATGAGTATTTTGCACAGTATTTTCAACGGAGGGTCGAACTTAGCTTAGTGTAACTTATACTACGGCGTGAAGAGGACTGTGATTATCATGGTCTCAGCAAAGCAGGCTTAACATGAACAGTACACTAATTATCAGTATTACATGGACTGCAAGAATAATGAACGGGCAGCATATTAAATATACGATCCTGATATGAAATATGTACACAATGTAAAATCTACAAGCTTAAGATAATGCAAGACATCCCAACATCTTATCATGGCTGGACAAATGGAACTAAATGAGAGTAACTTATAACTTGTAATACAGCAAAAGTAAAGGAAACGGCAGATTCTGATGCGTCACTTAGAAATTATCATGATTTAAGAGGAGTTATAAAAACACGTTTTTAAGAATATATTAATGCTACCTTCATTATTTCAATGGGAATACTATATAGAGTGAATTCTGTGAGTTAATATAAGCCACTAATGTACAACATGGAGGTCTGCAGGGACAGAAATTAACATTTGAAAATATATGAGACATTTTAACATTAACTATTCGTTTACACTATTTAGATATGCATAAATTAACAAAAATAAATGATATAAAGTGCAGTTTAATTGGCTGGATTTAATCAAATTATATATATGTTGCAGTGGATGGGTCTAAATCAGTGTGGAGGAAGAGCTGATGGCTCAGAAACATTCTGGTAAACAACAATCAGTCCAGTTTGCTCCATCTGACAGGAAATGCTACTAAAATGTCACTAAAAAGCCTCGGCTGTTGTGAGGATCTCTCTCCTTTGTTTGACTCTTAACGAGAACAGTGTGCGAATGACAAGATAGTGGATGTCGATATGTTTTATTGAATGTCTATTTTGCGGAGGAGCCAACTCTATAAGCACAATAGCGGACAGACGGAAAGAGAAAGAGAGCTGGAGACTACAAACAGAACATGATATCTTCACAGAGCTGTGATGCAGGGCAGCTGAGCTCTTACAGAGAAGCAACGCTGTCAAAGGAATGCCCTCTGACTGTGTGTGTGTGTGTGTGTGTGTGTGTGTGTGTGTGTGTGTGTGTGTGTGTGTGTGTGTGTGTGTGTGTGTGTGTGTGTGTGTGTGTGTGTGTGTGTGTGTGTGTGTGTGTGTGTGTGTGTGTGTGTGTGTGTGTGTGTGTGTGTGTGTGTGTGTGAGGGGAGAGTTGCTGCAGCTGTCAGAGGGAATGCCCAGTTAACGACGCTCTCCCCAGGCCTGGCTGTGGAGGGAAACCAACCAACGCTCCCTCTGAGAGTGTGTGTGTGTGTGTGTGTGTCTCAGCACTTCCACATATGCCTACAAGTGCGTGTGAATGTGTGTGTTGGTCAAAGTATGAATGGCATGCCAACACAAACACTGCCCCCCTGTTACAGCACTGCATCACATGTGCGTATGTGAGTGTGCGTGAATACTTTCTCTACAGTTCTTATAACACACTCCTCCCTCTCTCTCTCTCTCTCTCTCTCAGCACACACACACCAACACACACACACCCACTTGTGTGTGTGTGGGCACAAACACTCGGCGGTCTGGAGGGAAGCTGTAATGAAAGCTGATAGTGAATGGTGGACAAAGTCAAGCGCCCTCTGCTACCCAAAGATCCAGAGATAAGCTCAGCGGCTGCATCTCAGAGACCCTAACAAGCCTCATCCAATCCCCTCTCTCCTCTCAGTTCACACCAGGAGATGTGGCTATAAGGTGGTGCGGGAATGAGTCCTAAAACCCAGGGATGAGTTAGCATTTAACTACTTCTGTTTCCCTCTTTTTGAAGTCATTGGTTTTTGGTTAGATGCCTGATATAAGGTCTCACAAGCTGATTTTCACGTTGTATTCTACGATGTAAAATGTCGGTTAATTCCCTGCTGGTGAGTTTTTAATACGCTAGTAGCTAACAAGTGTCTAAATGAGAAGACTAAACATCATCACGCCCAACATTAGCCGTCTTTAGCTTAGCGGTGGTGAAGT